TTTAATTTCCATCAAGAAACAACCTCTGACAAAACAACACGATTCTCAACCATAACGACATCATTTTCAACCTTAATGAAACAAAACCAGTTTCAACCTATTTACCTGTGTTTTTGGTAAACAATCACGAGTTTAGAACGTATGTGAGATTAACTCAAAACATCTCTAAAGAAATTTATGTAAATGATTTGTGTGAACACACATGCGTGTGAATTGAATGCAGTCGTCACGTGAACGATAACGACATAGAAAAAATACTTTAATGAAGTTAAGTTATGATCAATGACAAGGTAAAATTCAATAAATGATATTAAATAAGAAAAAGTAAAATTAAATATTTCATTTAAGGAAATAAAAAATTGGTGAAAAGATTAAATGAAAATACATACATGCTTCTTACTTAATTGTTTCACTCTTTGACTCAGGTACTCCAATGGTATGGAAAATTTGTATGACAGTTTGCGGCCTTTGATCCCATGTATGAGGCTGTTATTTATTCTATTTACAAAGTAACTATCGACAACGGTTATGACCATTAGGGAACTACTGCATTCACTTCACGTTCAATCTTCGTGATCGCACTAACGTGCTTATGTGTCATTCACGACCGTATTTGTTTAAAACTTACGTTGAGTTGTAATTGCTTCCAACTTCCTCATGAACCCCTGATGATTATTGCTCCAACGTGTTGTCGATGCTGCCTACCAAGGACTCTCGACTTAAGTATTTCAACCTTATGTGGTTCAGTTGACTAGTCTTCTTGCTAAAATAAAGGCCCATGTCAACTAACCTTTTCGAGATTCTGAACATGTTTCCAAGAAATCTTGGTCTTGTGAATTCATCCCTGAGATTCTTCCAAACCTACGTTTCCTTGTGTCGACAGCTTGGTCGATCCCTCGTTAATAGTTTGTCAACACTTCATCATTAATGCTCTTTAAAACACTCGATTAATGCTTTCTCACAACAAATATCTTTTTATTGACATTCTTTGTTGACTTCTTACTAGCTGAAAAATCCAAGTGTAACAGATGCCTCCCAAAAAACGTCATTGTCAATCCATATCTGAAGGGACAAAGGTGGCATTTTTTTAGCCACTTGTCATTGTTCATATTATGTACCATGTCATCTCAGTCATGCTTATTGTTAGTCATCATGATTAACGTTTTACCAAAACATCGCATCTGAAAGCGTGCATATGACAACACATCATTACCCTGAATTCCAAGGTCATTGAGTAACCACTAAACCGAAATTTAACATTTCATTTTATTTATTTTTCCTTTCTTCGAGGCTATTCGTTGGCTCCAAACACTCTGTCTATCCATGTTCCTGGGAAAAACTTTTCGACACCTTTTCTTTGTCTATTTAAGTTTTTCTTTTCTCAAGCATCTACTTTCTTCCTTCATTTTCATTTCTAAAGACAACAAAAGTGAAACCCTAAATAGTGTTATCCACCATTTTTCTGCCTTTGTAATTCTCTTACACCATTTAATATTAGAAATAGAACCCAAACGTCTTATTCATGAACACCCTCCTTTTGCTTCTGTTATTGATGAACTTACTCTATTCAATGATCATATATATGTCTCGGAACCACCTCTTAAAGACACTCATAGACACCCTTATTATATGAACTTGTTGGTTACTTATTCAATTGCATGTACCACTTTTGCTTTTATGGGTATTATCCCTAAAGCTTTTAAACTTCCCATATGCTTTCAAAAATTCTTTCTCATTTGTTCAAAAAAGAACTAGGGACCTGTGATTTTCAAAGGTTCCTCCTTTAATTTCGAATTTCTACGGAAATGGATATTTCGCTTTTCACCTCCCCCTGAAACTACTGATTTAGCTTATAGTATTTGGCTGGATAGATTAGAGTCATAGAAAAGACCTGTGTGGGAAGAACAAGGGATCTATGATCTTATTCTTCTCTCCAGGGTAGGTCCCAAATATAATCATGCCATGATGTTCAATGCAATGTGTTTTTGGGAGGTTTCCACCAACACCTTCTAACTTCCATGTGGGATGATTACTCCCACCCTCTTTGATCTTGCTGTTATTGCTGGCCTTTGGCCTACTGGGGAAGATTATGAGCCTTCCGTTGATATTGTTTTCATGTTTTTGATTCATGCCTACAACACCTTTATTGAAGAGAATTAGGGTTATGGTGATGTTGTCGATGCTCACGAACACATAACCTTTCTAATCTACTAGCTATAATGCTACATCTTTTGTCCTCGTGGGGTCCAGATCACCAAGATGTATGTATCATTGGCCACCCGACTTCATAAGGGCGTAAATGTTTGCCTTAGAAAACTGATCCTAGAAAATCTTTACGAATCTCTGAGACACGTGTCTAGCAACCTTTAGGAAGAGATGGATAGTCTTCAAATCGAGGGACCTATCTGGCTATGACAACTATGGCTCAATTCCACTTTTGCTCATGCCCTAGATGTCCAAATCCCTAATAGCACTGAGGGAGGTACTAAGGGTACGCGACATGCTTAAATCACTCGTGATGATGGTAAGGCGGTGTTTAAAGAAGTCTTTGAGAAGTACTTTTATATTTTTTTTTACAACTGTAACACTTTTGATCCAGCGATGAAACTGTTTGCCACTCGCTAGTGTTGCCCGACATGGTTTCATGTACTGTTTCCTAATTTTGTTGTTGAATAGGAGAAGTTTATTCATGGCATTCTTTTAGAATGTCTTCGTCTTGCACCTTTGTGGATGAAACTTACCATAAAGAAAATTGTGATAAGCCTTGGCTTATAACAGTCTAACCTGGCTGCTAGGCAATTTGTCCTGAGCCAATTACTCCCCAAACCCTTGGTCGAGGATCTGCAGGGTATGATCCTTTTCATAGATGCCATGGGGGAGGAGACTTTGGAAGTCTGTCTTGAATTCTTCCGAGATAAACTTGCTTATCTTCCTTCTTTCAACTACTCTCTCTCTCTCTCTCTCTCTCTCTCTCTCTCTCTCTCTCTCCCTCTCTCTCTCTCTCTCTCTCTCTCTTTCTCTCTCTCTCTTTGTTATACGAAAGAATTTGAAGACCGGTGGAGTTCTTTTTACACCAAAGTGGCGTTTCCCCAGCTCATATAGAATCACATCTCTAGGGCTTTTGCCTTCCAATTGGCTAAAGATCAAACCAGTCAAGGTATGTTCCCTCGACGCTTTTTCTAGTAGTCAGATGTCGTTTTTGGTTGCCTCTTTTAACTTGTGCCCTTTTTGGTTTGTTTTAGATACTTCCTGACATCCACAAAGTTCTTCTCAAAGAACCATTGCTTATGAGAGAGACCCTGAAATTACTCAAAAGGATTTACATGTAAGGTCATCACCTGTTTTTCTTTTGGATTCTTGCATTTTTTACCTGTATGATATTCGAATGTACTTTTCTTTAGGGTAAGCCAAAGCTTCTCTAATCTTTAGGCATTGGTACTTCCAAGCATCAAGGTGTAGGGAAAATGCCCCCTCGACGTCTTGACTAGCCATAAATCACTAATTCGTACTAGCTTCTGGATTTCCTCATTGTCTGCTTATCTTACTTCTTGGTTTAACCTCCATTGTTTTTGTTAGTTTCTGCATAAGGAGTTGAAGTTTTATAGTGAAGAAGGGGCCTTTGGTTCTTTTCAACCATCTCCCAAAAAATCCAAAGTATCTATCATGTCAGGCTCTATTGTACTTGAGTCGTACCAAGATATTGTAGTGTTGAAGCCTTATGGTGGGAAGAAGAAGAAGAGTCAGTACTGACTCGAAAGGATAGGCAAGGAAGTTCGTTCAAGATAAGGTCTATTGTTATCTAGATCAGAAAAGTGCTTCTGAAAAAAGCCTAAAAATTTCATTACGAACCTCCTCCACTTTTTCATGCCACTTATCCCTTACCTTAAAGGCCACTATATTATTCCCACAACTCCTCTATGTAACACAAGCATGAAAAAACCCAGTATATGCATCCCCCTCTTTGAGTAAGCACTAGAAAATATACGAGTCACCACATCTGATAAGTTCCCAAGCTCTTGGGTGAGAGAAGTCATGACCACTAACTCTTCGGAAGATAACTCTCCCATTTCAACTCTTAACTTCCAACCCTCAAGTCTAACACCACAACTCTTAATATTAGTCTCTAAGTTACCAAATACCTCCTTATTCCACACCTTTAGAATCTTTTTTACACTATGCCAAAATTGATATTTTGTATCGCCTAATTTAATAGCGCTTTTAAAGAAAGTGCTATTAAAAAGGAAACAAACACATCTATAATAGCACTTTGTAAAAAAGTGCTATTATTAAACTTCACTAAGATAGCGCTTTCTTAAAAGCGCTATTAATATTTTTCACTAAGATAGCGCTTTTAAAGAAAGTGCTATTAAAAAGGAAACAAACACATCTATAATAGCACTTTGTAAAAAAGTGCTAGTATTAAACTTCACTAAGATAGCGCTTTCTTAGAAGCTCTATTAATATTCTTCACTAAGATAGCGCTTTCTTAAAAGCGCTATTAATATTCTTCACTAAGATAGCGCTTTTAAAGAAAGTGCTATTAAAAAGGAAATAAACACATCTATAATAGCACTTTGTAAAAAAGTGCTATTATTAAACTTCACTAAGATAGCACTTTCTTAAAAGCGCTATTAATATTCTTCACTAAGATAGCGCTTTTAAAAAAAGTGCTATTAAAAAGGAAACAAAATGTGATTTTGATAGCACTTCGTAAAAGTGATGTTATTAAACTTTACTAAGATAGCACTTTTTTTTAAAACGCTATTAATATTTTTCACTAACATAGCGCTTTTCAAAAAAACGCTACTAAAAGTGTTCATTAAAATAGCACTTTTCAAAAAAAACACTATTATTAGACTATATTATAAAATATATAATAAATAATAAAATGAATAAGTTAAGTTGGAGGATTTTTGTCTTGATAACCAGACTTGGTAGATAATCGAAATGATTGAGCTTTAGCTGAGCACCTCTTTGGCTTTTTCCTTCAATTCATTGAAATGGGTATGGCATCCATGGCCAACACTTTCACTCTTCCTCGCTTTAACTTCAACCCTTCTCACACCCTTTCTCCTTCTTCATCTTCTTCTCTCCCCAAATTCTTCACTCTCTCCAACCCCATTTCCACCCCTTCACCCATCACCAACGCATCATCCTCAACCAAAAAATGCGCATCCACTCTCATTCGCGCCACCTCTTCTTCTCCTTCTTCTTCCTCTTCCTCCTTCGGCTCTCACCTCGAAGAAACCATCAAAAACACCCTTTCCCAAAACCCTGTCGTCGTTTACTCCAAATCCTGGTGCTCCTATTGTTCTGAGGTGAAATCGTTGTTCAAGAAACTCAGTGTTCAACCGCTGGTCCTCGAATTGGACGAAATGGGTATTTCGACTAAACCCTAACTGTTTATTGCAAATTCATTTTTGTCATATTAATTGATTTTGTACTATTTCATTTTAGGTCCATAAGGTCCACAATTGCAGAAGTTGTTGGAAAGACTCACTAGCCAATACACTGTCCCAAATGTGTTTATTGGTAAGCAATCACTGAGTACCACCATAATCTCTTTTGCACTATTCTTAATCATACTCATAGAAGTAGTAACTGACTCAATTTCAATTAACTAGTTATGTCATTTGCACTTAGCTTATATAGTTAGGATAAACGACTTGATCTCGTGGCTTGATATTTATTGAATTCGTCGTCAACGGGAGGTATGCATCTTATTTATAGATTGAGAGTGAGGGAGAGTGATTTGTCGTTTTGCAAATTTCTGTGCGTTTTGTGAAAGGGTGCTATCTAATATGTGTCTTATAATAGCGTTTTTGGAAAAATGCTATTAAATACCGGTACTATAATAGCGCTTTTGGAAAAACGCTATTAATTACCAGTACTATAATAGCATTTTTAAAGCGCTATCAAAAATTTTGTTTTACAATAGCGGCTTGGTTAATAGCGCTTTTAAGCGCTATCAAAAAGAAAAAAAAAAACGCTATTAAATAGCTTTTTTGTAGTAGTGTTAGGACTTTCAACTTGTCCTTCAAATTACCCACCATCTAACTTACCTCAATAATCATCCCCCAAAAAATCTGAACCACTTCCTCAAACTGGTCGCAATCCAACAAATAATTATTAAACCTAAAAGGATTTGGTTCCCAAAGTTGCGAAGACTACTAAAATACTAACAAACAGTGGTCGAAGAAATCCCTAATCAAGTCCATGTGATTCTCCTGACCTCATTCCTCCTTTCACCTAGGTGAAAGAAAATCTTTATCCAGCCTAATCATTCTGACCCCATTAAAATGATACCATGTGAATCTTTTTCCCAACAGGGGAAAACACACCAATCACAATTTTCCTTTATAAATATCTAGGGTCGGCCTAATCAATCCACATGATATGTTCTAATTTAAAAAAATGACCTAAATTAAAATAAGAAATTCAATTATAATAATTAAAAATGACGCATCAAAAATATAATTATATATTGATAAAAAAAATGAATTTAATTATAATTATTTAACTTTTTGGTCAATTTTTTTAGGTATTAGTTTTTATTATTGTATTTTTAAATATTGAATTTTTATTAAGATTTTTTTTATATATTTATTCATTAAAAAAATTGAACTTCTAAAAATTTGAAGCTCCATACAATAGAGCTTGTTGTTCATGTAGAAGACCGACCTTGTAAACATCCTAAACTCATGAAATTCCCCATCACACTTACTTGAGAACCCGAACTCACTCATCTCCTCTTATTTGTGCCCACTTCTTTATATTTACTTCATAGTCAAGAAAAATAAAAAATAAAAGTGTGAAATATATTCTTGATTTTTTTTTATTGATTTTACTATCATTGCTTTATTTTTTATTGCAACTCATTGTTAAGTGATAATGAGATTAGATTTAATAAGAATATTTAACTCTAACAATGTCACGATCTAGTATTTAAATTTCGAATGAGAGCCCTATATTTAACACGTCTAAAATAGATTTTAAAATAGAGAGGGATAAATAAAATAAAATGAAAATAGTATTGAATATAAAGTTTTGTGATTTGCAAGAAAAAAAAAACTTTTTGTGTTTATTTAAGGGTGCATAAGATAATAAAAGAATACGTATATAATATAAAGATTAACTAATTTTTTATTTGTTGATAAACAAAAGATTTAAAAGATTTTATCGAATGGAGTATAAGGAATATTTGTACATTTGTACTAGACATGGCAACAAAATTTATATTTACATATATTCAGCTGAATTTATTCGAGCTTAACGAGAAAATTTTATTTTAATTGAATTTGAGTTTAAGTTTGAATTTTTCATGATTTCAAAATACGGGTATAAGACGAGTAATAGGAGCACTAGTTCTCACTTTGAATTTCCTCTTTAATAATTTATGATATTTGATTTTAATAATTCATAATATTAATTATTTGGTTAATACATTGATATTTGAAATATTTGTAATATTATTTTAAATATTAGAAGTATATGTTTGAAAAATTTTAAGATTATTTTAAATTTTTTATTTCTAATGTTTGTTTGAGTTCATGATATATTATTTTATGAGTTCAAGATATATTACGTCACAAACACTTTAACGAGACACACCGCCGAATCACCATCTTGCCAACAAGACTTTCAATGCAAGGAGTCAATTTCATACTCGAACCATCAGCTCTGATACGACTGATGATTCACGAGAGGAGCATTCACATCGAATCAATAGCAACAAACAAGTAAGAGAGACATAATATATTCACCTAAAAACCTTAAGGCATTAGGCATATAAGTCCTCTCCCCATAAAGTGCTCACCTCCATTTTTTTCTAACAAAATGAGACTTTCAACTCACACTTGTATCTCAAAAATCTTTCACTCAAGTGTAAGCCCATCCATTATGCTTCCCCTCAAGGAAACGTTCTTTCATCCACTTACACTTGTACCGCCGTTGACACTCTTACAATATCATGAGCACTTCAATGTGGCACGTCTCCTAATTACCATCTTGTCAAAACACTTTCGATGTAAGTAGTCGATCTGTTACTCGAACAATACTTTAATACCACTTGTTGGGGAGTTTGGGGGAGGCAGGAGCACCAGCGGATGTGTAATTTTATAAGACTATAATAGAGAGAGAGAGAGAGAGAGAGAGAGAGAGAGAGAGAGAGAGAGAGAGAGAGAGAGAGAGAGAGAGAGAGAGAGAGAAAGAGAGAGAGAGATGTCACATCTCCACTAAAAACCTTGAGGCAATGGGTGATTTCTCTTATAAATCCAACATTTCCTCTATTTTAGTCGATGTGAGACTTTACCATTCACACTTGAATTCAACTATGATCTCACACTTGAATCCAACATCTTCTCCACAAGGGTGAGACACCCACATCACTAGTCTTGATTCATACTATGATATTACTTTCGCTCTTCTACCGAGTCTAACCATGACTTTGATACCACTTTTTTGGGAGTCCAATCGAGGTAGGAGCATCAAAGGGTGCCCAATACTTCGTGACCACAAGAGATAGATAGATAGATAAATAAATAGATATATAGATAGATAGAGATGTGAAATCCTTACTCAAAACCTTAAGGAATCGAGTGTATGAGTTCTTTGTCTTATATATCTAATATTTCCTCCATTTCTTGTTGATATGCGACTTAACCACTCACACTTGAGTTCAACAATCAGTGTTGAACTCAAGTGTGTGTGTGGTTAAGTCTCATATCGACTAGATTTGATGAAAATGAATGTTGGATTTATCATAGAGTAGACTCATACTCTCATTGCCTTAATATTTTAGGTGAATATGTGGTTTTAAAGTCTCTTGGGTCTTAAATGTTTAGCACATTGACACTTTTGGCGCTCAATAGACTCCCAACATATGGTATCAAAGCATGATTCAGCTTGGTTTGGGAGAAAGAATTAGATCCGATGTAGGATCTTATTATAAAATTTAGGGGACTCATAATTGTAGGGGAAATTTTTGGATGCAAGTGTGAGTGGTTAAAGTTCCACATCATTTATGTATGGGTATAATGTGGAATTTATAAGAGAGAAAACTCATATACCTGTTGAAATAGTATTAGTGTGGGTTTTTGTTATCGTATCCGCAGTGATTGTGTGATATTATCGTCGTTCTACAATTGGAAACGTTTTAAACATAGAACATAAAAAGTGATTGGTTTGATTTTGCAACGATTGCATAAAATGTATAATCAACAGTAAAAAAGTTTTGGTTTTAAACGATTGGTAAAAACATGTCAAGATTAGGGCTCGATAATCCATTTCATACACATTTTCTTAACAAAGCATGTGAACTTATTAACAACAAATATAATCACATATCCTCTCAATATGTTTCATCTCTAAAGCAAATTGTGATTTTTATCATATTGATCCTTAGATGATCTTTCAACCTAACTATCAATATGATAATATTAAAGGGTTGATATTAGTGAATATCAACTCATAAAACTATCTCTAAACTTTGTTTATTTAAAGATGAAAAAGTTAGATTAATAGTTTAAACACATTTCTCAATAATGATCCAACACAAATATACAATAAAAACAAGGTTTTTCACCATATATTCATCATCAATTTGTTCACATACACATATCAAGAAAAATACATACAAAGGTTAAGATTATCTACCTCTAATCTTGACACAAGGAGAGACTTAGCTACCCATAACCATGGTAGCTTGAGCAACAAGCATCAAACAAAGCTTTTGGAGCATCAAACTTGAAAGGATCAAAGATTGAAGCTTAAAAGCTTTAATTTTTAAGTAAAAATGAAGAAGATGACTTTTTTCTCTTCACCAAAGTTTCTAGGTTACAAAAGATTCTTAAAAAGTAAGTTATCTCTCAAAAAATATCACAAAGTGCTAAAATACACATGTTCTGCCTAGGCAACTTCGTCGGGCGAGCTACAAAATTTTTCGGGCGAAATCCTTTAGTAAAGCCATGTCATAGCAACAGTGAGAACAAGCTGGAAAAATTATTTGAATTCACCAGGCGAAATAAAGCTTCGCCGGGTGAAACCCTTTCACCTCTCCTTTGCCAGGTGAATCAGCCGGCGAACCACTTCCAGTAGCTGCTGAAATTTCAAACTTCTTTCGCCTGGTCTCTCGCCAGGCCTTCGCTGGGCGAAACTTCCTTATCGTCACCCCTTTGCCGGACGAAGGTCTTGATTTCTTCTACACACGACTTTCTTTGTTTCTTTGCTTTTTCTTCCGATTTTTGCCACACCCTTTTTACAAAATATGCTGCAAAACTAACCAATATATTAAAAATACCAAATATATACATTGATGCAAGAATCACTTAATAAATAAGTTGTTTCGCAATCAGAAGTATGGAAAAGAGCTTAAAAGTGTCGTAAATTGATACAAAAACCATTCTATACTTGACACCTATCAAACTCTCTCTAACTTGCATCTTTGTTTGCCCTCAATCAGGGTAAG